AAAGTCCTTCCAAACTAGGGCAGTTGTATGGGCCACAGCAGACCCCCGGCCCTAAAGACGCTCAGTAAGATAAATTGATAATGTGGAAAAATACTCACGGGATAACATTTGATGATAAAAATAGGATGCAAACTTCTATAAACTTTTGGAAGTGAGGGACATGTCCATTACCTTGATAGTAGTGATGGTTTCAAGGGTTATATGTTAACACTTATCCAATTGTATACTTTAAATATGTGTAGTTTATTGTATATTAATCATAGCTCAATAAAAATGTTTTAAGAACTGAAGGTGACAAATTTTTTTAAAGTTTTCTATACAGCATAATCTGAACTACATACATTATGAGATAAAGAAAACAGACATGAAGTTAAAAAGCTTCTGCAGAGCAAAGTAAATGATCAACAAAGTAAAGAGACAGCCCACAAATGGGAGAAAATATTTGCAAACTACCCATCTGACAAGGGATTAATAACCAGAATATATAAAGAACGCAAACAACTCTATAGGAAAAAAACTAATAATTCCATCAAAAGATGGGGAAAATATACGAATAGGCATTTCTCAAAAGAAAACATACGAATGGGCCAGGCGTGGTGGCTCACCAGCACTTTGGGAGGCTGAGGCGGGCGCATCACGAGGTCAGGAGATCAAGACCATCCTGGCTAACATGGTGAAACCCTGTCTCTACTAAAAATACAAAAAAATTAGCCTGGCGCGGTGGCGGGCGCCTGTAGTCCCAGCTACTCGGGAGGCAGAGGCAGGAGAATGGCGTGAACCCGGGAAGCGGAGCTTGCAGTGAGCCGAAATCGCGCCACTGCACTCCAGCCTGGGCAACAAAGTGAGACTCCGTCTCAAAAAAAAAAAAAAAAAAAGAAAAAGAAAAAAAGAAAACATACGAATGGTAAACAGGCATATGAAAAGGTATTTGCTGGGCGCGGTGGCTCAAGCCTGTAATCCCAGCACTTTGGGAGGCCGAGACGGCCAGATTACGAGGTCAGGAGATCGAGACCATCCTGGCTAACACGGTGAAACCCGGTCTCTACTAGAGACCATCCTGGCTAACACGGTGAACCCGGTCTCTACTAAAAATACAAAACTAGCCGGGCAAGGTGGTGGCGCCTATAGTACCCAGCTACTCGGGAGGCTGAGGCAGGAGAATCGCTAGAATCCGGGAGGCGGAGGTTGCAGTGAGCCAAGACTCTGCCACTGCACTCCAGCCTGGGCAACAAGAGTAAAATCTGTCTCAAAAAAAAAAAAAAAAAAAAAAAAAAAAAAGCTAAACTAAAAACTGAGCTACCATAAGATCCAGCAGTCCCATTGCTGGGTATATACCTGAAAGAAGGGAAATCAGTATATCGAAGAGATATCTGCATTCCCATGTTTGTTGCAGCACTGTTCACAATAGCCAAGATTTGGAAGCAATCTAAGTGTCCATCAGCAAATGAATAAATAAAGAAAATATGGTACATATACACAACGGAGTACTATTCAGCCATAAAAAAGAATGAGATCCTGTCATTTGCAACAACATGGATGGAACTGGAGGTCACTATGTTAAATGAAATAAGCCAGGCAGAAAAAGACAAACATTGCATGTTATCACTTACTTGTGAGATCTAAAAATTAAAACAATTGAACCCATGCAGGCAAAGTACTGGATGGTTACCAGAGGCTTGGAAGGGTAGTGTAGGGCTTGTGGGGAGATGGGGATGGCTAATGGGTACAAAAAAATAGAATTAATAAGACCTATCTGGTAGCAGAACAGGGTGACTACAGTAAATAATAATTGTACATTTAAAAATAACTAAAAGAGTATAACTAGATTGTTTATAACACAAAGGATAAATGCTTGAGGGGATGGATACCCCATTTCCCATGATGTGGTTATTATGCATTCTATGCCTGTATCAAAGTATCTCAGGTACCCCACAAATATATATACCTACTATATACCCACAAAAATTAAAAATTAAAAATGTAACACAAAGAAAACAGAAAAGAATCACATTTGAATGGTCATGTTAAAATAACAAGACAGTAGGTGCTTTTCCTTCTTTTTTTTGAGACAGTGTCTTGCTCTGTCACCCAGGCTAGAGTGCAGCGGCATGCAGAGGCCAGCTCACTGCAGCCTCAACCTCCTAGGCTCAAGTGATCCTCCCACATCATCCTCCCTAATTGCTGGGACTACAGGTGCACGCCACCATGCCCAGTTAATTTCTATATTTTATTGTAGAGATGGGGTCTTGCCATGTTGCTCAGGCTGGTTTTGAACTCCTGGACTCAAGCAATCCACCCACCTTGGCCTCCCAAAGTGCTGGGATTACAGGTGTGAACCACTGTGCCTGGCCCTCTAAGTTTCTGCCAAAATGTACTTATAACTTTTATACTGACTACACTTTAAAGTATTAAACTTGTAAAGAAAAGGCCCTGGAGGGGTTTGTTCTTTACAAGATCAGTCAGAAGCTACAAGGGGCCAGGCTGAGGCCAAGGTGTGGGCAGGTACATGCAAGGCCAGATGCTGGATGTGGAGTAGGTGCCAGGTGCTAGCTGGGCATGAATGTGCACCCGCTCCCTGACCTCTGCTCCCTGATTCTCAGAAGGAACTAGCACTGCCTGGAGACAGGAAGAAGCAGACAGAGTATGGAAGGCAGACTCTCTGGCCAGAGATCTTGCAGCCAGGAGCACAGTAAGAACAGAGCCTAAGCCTATCTGTCCAGAGCCCAGGCTCCCTTTCCCTACAGCTGCAGCCTCCCTGCTCTGGTCTGGTCCAGCGGAGTGAGGAGAGGCCACCCACCCAGCCATACCTGCTGGTGGCTGCTGGGGGTGCATGGTCAGAAGAGGAAAAGATGCGGTTCAGGTAGTCATTCAGCAGCTTCTCCTGCACAATGCCTGAGCCACAAGTCAGAAGGGAGAAAAGGGCCACATGATCAGTGTAGCTCCTGGCCCCTGCAGGCCCCAGAGACTTCTGGATTTAGGCCAGCCACAGATGCAGCAAGGCCTGAGGCCTTTGTCCCTTCCTTCTCCTCCCAACAAGAGGAGCCTCCTTCCTTCCCTGACAGCCCTTACCTGTGACCCTGGATTTCTCAGCATCTGAGGTCAGCCTATAGCTCTTGCGGGAGAAAGACATGCCGGCCCCCTTGGATGCCATCCTTCATCTCTCATGGGCAGCCAGTGGTCCTGGAGGCTGAGCCAGACACAGAGCCTGTCTACTCAGGGCCAGCCAGGGGCCCCCAAACCTGACCTCAGTCCTGCCATGGCAGGAAGGCTTGGGAGCAGGTGAGGCCAGGGGCATGCACATTAACACACAGGACAGGGGAATGCAGGGCTCCCAGCTTCCTACACAGGGAGGGTAGCCGGGATCTAGGCCCATGTGACAGGGACCACTTCTTGTTTTCCAGTGTCCCTGTGCCCAGCACAGGGCTGGGCAGAGAGCAGGTACCAGATACATTTTTGCTGAACCATAACTAAATGTCTCAGCTCTGTGGAAATGAGACCAAAATGTCCAAAGTGAGGTGTCCTGGGGCAGAGCCCGTTTCCATCTCAGTTGTAAGCCATCCTGAGTCCAGCTCACAACCAGAAGCGAGAGTCCTACACATTCCCCCAAGTGCAGACCACCACTGGTCTGGCCATCTTTAACCATAAGTCCCATTTACTCCCCACAAGGCTGGAGGCTCTTTCCTCAGCCCTGGGTTCCTCCCTTCTTTTATCCATGGTCCTGATAGTTCCCCTGTTTCCACTCACACATGGGGCCTCCCACCTCATCCAAGCACCACCTTTGCCCAGCCCTCATGGCAAACTCCACTGGTCCTCCTAGTGCATCTATCCCTCATATCATGTTGCTGCTGCAGCTGCTCCAGAACCTGTACTGAGTCCCTGGTGCTGGCCTCACTGATGTGTAGCTGTGCTGTCCAACACAGCAGCCATCATCCACATGAGGTTACTTAAATTTAAAGTTGTAAAAATTAACAATTAGATTTCTCAGTTGCCTTAGCCACATTTCAAGAGTTCAATGACCGCAAGTGGCTAATGGTTACTTTATTGGACAGCACAAAGGTAGGATATTCCCATCACCATATAAAGTTCTATTAGCGCAGGTCTAGAGTTTCGCTCTGCAGCACTGCCTTGGCCAGTACTCCCTACTCTGCAGCTCAGTCTCTTATCTCACCCCAAACAGACCCTCTACTCCCGCCACAAACCCTTGTGGGTCTGCACCACGCCTGCCCCTCGGGAAGGTGGCTTTCCCGACCTCGGGCCCTCGGTGGGAGTCCGTGATCGGTGCCCCTTCACTACCAGAGTAGTTGAAGGTCTGATTAAACGCAGTCATTCATTTGATGAACAAACCTTCGAGACACCCACTCCGGGTGTCAGTTGCTGAGGACCCAGGTGAGAGACGGACCTTGTCCCCGCCCGGGGACTCCCTGTCACGGCTATCCCATCCAGCCCCGCCGGGGTATTCGGGCTCAAAACCTAACCTACTCCGTCAGGGAGCCCAAGGACAGCGAGGGCGGGGCATGGCTCCCCCAAGTCGCCCCCGCCTGGCCCCAAGCTCCAGAGGACCTGCCAGAACAGCTCCCGCTCGGAGTTTAGCACCACGATCCCTGCGCTGCAGCTGCCCTCGCACTGGACTAGCCTGGACCGCGAAGGGAGCAGCCAGAAGCCGCCAGGCTCAGAGCCCAGCCGCCCCTCACTCACCCCGAGCCTCGGCCGCCGCGACCCGGCTCACAACATCCGCCCAACCTCTTGGCTACGGCGTCCGTCCAGGGCCAAATCACGCGCACGCTCGCGCGCAGCGCCTCCAGCCGCGCACGCGCACTGGCCCGAGCCCAGCCTCCGCTAGTGGATCCCCTCCAGGGCCTCCCACAGGGTTGTTCCAGGCCTCAGCTTTGCCGGAAGGCCACACCACCTCCGACCTCCGCCTGCTCTGGGGATGCTCCCAGCCCTGCTGCGGCAGAATGCGAAGTGCTAACCGGAATCCCTAGGCCACCTGTCTCCTACCCATACTTGGAGGCCCCGCTCAGACGGTCCTTAAAACGTCTGAAAGGCCGTTCCTGCCAGAGTCCCTGCTACCTGTTACCTCCACCCTTATTTAGTCCTAGTGGACAGCCTCGCTCACCCCTGGGATGACACTTCTGGCGGGTGAGATGGGCCTCCCTGGGCTCTGCAGCCGGGTGTGGGCTGACCTGCCTACAGCTGGGGCCTGATAAGGTGGCAGCAAAAGGGTGGAGGGGAGGCAGTGTTGAAGCTGGGGCAAGTAATTTTCCCCAATTTACAGGGAAAAACTGAAATTCAGAAAAGTTTAATGTCACCCAGGGGCTGGAACCCAGACCTTTAGCAGCTCTCACTTTCACAATGCCCTTGGACGACTAGGCTGCAGAGGGGTTTCACCCCAACCCCAGGGCACCTCAAGTGTCCCCACCAAACCTTCCTAACACCTGTCCACTTAGTAGGGAGGCCTCTCAGGGGGCTAGCTGTAACTGACCCTTGCAACTGACCTATGGGACCTGAGGCCTGGCCCCTCATGGCTCCTGTCACCAGGTCTCAGGTCAGGGTCCAGCAGGCCCTGACCTGATATGTGGAGCCAGAGCCACCCAATCCCGTAGGGACAGGTTTCACAACTTCGCGGATGGGGCTGTGGTGGGTCACAGTGCAGCCTCCAGCCAGAAGGATGGAGTGGCTGCCACTCCTGCTGCTTCTGACCCAATGCTTAGGGGTCCCTGGTGAGTGCCTCCCACCCTGATCTCCATCTACCTTCAGGAGGGGGTTGGGCCCATCCTCCTAGGATGAGAAAAAAGCTGGGGAGCCAGAGGCTCAGTGTACATGGGGCAGTGACCTTGGCCTCTTGAGCACAGCTGGGAAGCCCTAGAAACACACATACATTGGCCACTTAGGCCTCTATTAGCACGTCTGCTCTAGCACTGAAGCAGTGTTGGGACCACACAGATGCACGCATACAGCAGGTAGTGACCTCTCCTGAGCCTGATCTACCCCTCTAACCTAGCATATGCCTCTGTGCAGGTGAGAGCCCAGATTTGGTGTCTGAATGCCTAGCCAGGGCCCCTGGCTGGGTGATGTGATGGCTCTGGGCCTTAGCATTCTCATTTGAGAGATGAGATAGGGCAGGCTCCATCATCCACTGCTCTCACAGAGCGTACATGTTAGATCTGACCCCGGTGCCTGCCACTAAACAGAGGCACCGGTGATAACTACCAAGTCTGGGCCTGCTTCCCAGGGGGAAATTTTTTTCACAAGTATCTGTGCAGGGCAGCTAGACTGGCCCTTGAAAGTGCATACAGGGTCCATCCCAGAACTCTTGTAGCTTTGATCCCCTGCATGAACAAAGTGTGGACATACCAATACACATTACTGACATGTATGCCCACCTGACCCGCACCCACTCATGCCCACTCTGCAGGGCAGCGCTCGCCGTTGAATGACTTCCAGGTGCTCCGGGGCACAGAGCTACAGCACCTGCTACATGCAGTGGTGCCGGGGCCTTGGCAGGAGGATGTGGCAGATGCTGAAGAGTGTGCTGGTCGCTGTGGGCCCTTACTGGACTGCCAGTGAGTGGCCACTGGGCCTAGATAAGACTGGGGGTAGGGGAAGCTGGGCTGTGGCATTACCCTGTGCCTTCTCCAGGGCCTTCCACTACAATGTGAGCAGCCATGGTTGCCAACTGCTGCCATGGACTCAACACTCGCCCCACACGAGGCTGCGGCGTTCTGGGCGCTGTGACCTCTTCCAGAAGAAAGGCGAGTAGGGGTGGAGAGGGACAGGGTGGGAGATAGGGGACCTCAGCCCAAATTGATCTTCTGTCTCTTGCTCCCAGACTACATACGGACCTGCATCATGGACAATGGGGTTGGGTACCGGGGCACCGTGGCCACAACCGTAGATGGCCTGCCCTGCCAGGCTTGGAGCCACAAGTTCCCGAATGATCACAGGTGAGACAAACACCTTCCCTCCATCCCGGCCTGGGGCCTTCCCCCGGCACACACTATAGTGCTGTTCTGGGCCCTCAGATACACGCCCACGCTCCGGAATGGCCTGGAAGAGAACTTCTGCCGTAACCCTGATGGCGACCCCGGAGGTCCTTGGTGCTACACAACAGACCCTGCCGTGCGCTTCCAGAGCTGCGGCATCAAATCCTGCCGGGAGGGTAAGCAGCGCCGGGTCAAGCTGGGAGAGTGGAGGGACAAGCCCACGCCCGTCCACCAACCCACTGGCTGTTTGTCTCCAGCCGCGTGTGTTTGGTGCAATGGCGAGGATTACCGCGGCGCGGTGGATCGCACGGAGTCAGGGCGCGAGTGCCAGCGCTGGGATCTCCAGCACCCGCACCAGCACCCCTTCGAGCCGGGCAAGTACGCGCAGGCGGTGTTGGCACCCAGGGGGCCGGACTAGGGAAGGTCCAGGACTCCAGGGGCAGGGCCCCGTGTAGGGCAATTGGGCGGGGCCAGACAAGCCTGAGTCCCAGGGTCTTGTTCACGCCCCATTACCGCCCCCAGATTCCTCGACCAAGGTCTAGACGACAACTATTGCCGGAATCCTGACGGCTCCGAGCGGCCCTGGTGCTACACTACGGATCCGCAGCTCGAGCGAGAGTTCTGTGACCTTCCCCAATGCGGTAGGCGGCGGGAACCGGGCCTGCGAGGGTACCTGGGAAACTTGGGGAGGGGCGTGGCTTGACTGGGGAGGGAAGAGGGGCTGGTCGTGACCTGAGAGCATATCCCTTGGAGTACCGTACACCTGCGAAAGGCGGGTTTGGTCCCAGCCCCAGAGGGATCTCAGCTATAGCTCGGGGTCCGACCTATCTCGGTCCATCGAAGGGTCTGAGGCACAGCCCCGCCACGAGGCCACGACTGTCAGCTGCTTCCGCGGGAAGGGTGAGGGCTACCGGGGCACAGCCAATACCACCACCGCGGGCGTACCTTGCCAGCGTTGGGACGCGCAAATCCCGCATCAGCACCGATTTACGCCAGAAAAATACGCGTGCAAGTGAGGTGGGGGGCGGGTGTTGGGACGTGCTGCCGCGGGTGAGACGGGAGGAGGGTAGTCACGGGCTTAGGGCTGGAGGCTGGCGGGCTAGGACTGAGTGGAGCGCCTGCTTAGAGACCTTCGGGAGAACTTCTGCCGGAACCCCGACGGCTCAGAGGCGCCCTGGTGCTTTACACTGCGGCCCGGCATGCGCGTGGCCTTTTGCTACCAGATTCGGCGTTGTGCAGACGACGTGCGGCCCCAGGGTGAGGCCCAAGCTTGGGGGCTAGAGCCGGGGCTGGAAGCCTCGAACCGGAGGGCCAGGGCGAGGTCTCGGCCTGATGGCTGCCCCCACCCGCCGCAGACTGCTACCACGGCACAGGGGAGCAGTACCGCGGCACGGTCAGCAAGACCCGCAAGGGTGTCCAGTGCCAGCGCTGGTCCGCTGAGACACCGCACAAGCCGCAGTGAGTTCCTGGTGCTCCCGGCCCCGCCAGGGCCCTAAGCCCGGGGCGGCATGTTTTGGTGTCTGGGACCAGAGCCTGGAGATGGTTGACACTACTCTGCCATGATTTTGCTCCCGCTCCTAGGTTCACGTTTACCCCTGAACCGCACGCACAACTGGAGGAGAACTTCTGCCGGAACCCAGATGGGGATAGCCATGGGCCCTGGTGCTACACGATGGACCCAGGGACCCCATTCGACTACTGTGCCCTGCGACGCTGCGGTGAGCACTAGTGATGCTTCCCCCATGATTCTGCCTCAGCCCCCACCACCAAAGACTGGCTCCCTTAACCCCAGTGAACTTTGTCTTTCAGCTGATGACCAGCCGCCATCAATCCTGGACCCCCCAGGTTAGGAGTTGGGCCAGTTATGGGTCAGGCCCTTTAGCCCACCACATCCACACAGTCTGGGTTTCATCCAGCCCATCCCATCCTACAGACCAGGTGCAGTTTGAGAAGTGTGGCAAGAGGGTGGATCGACTGGATCAGCGTCGTTCCAAGCTGCGTGTGGTTGGGGGCCATCCGGGCAACTCACCCTGGACAGTCAGCTTGCGGAATCGGTGAGGCACAACTGCTTGTCTCCCACAGAGAGCAGCTAAGGTTGTGTCCTTTGTAGTTATCCCACTGGGGGTTGGGAATCTATCCCTGCCCCCAGAGGTCCTAGCCAGAAGATGGCAGGTCTAGCATCTGTCCCAGGACTCTGTTCCCTGTCCTAATTCCCCACTCCTCCAGGCAGGGCCAGCATTTCTGTGGCGGGTCTCTAGTGAAGGAGCAGTGGATACTGACTGCCCGGCAGTGCTTCTCCTCCTGGTGAGCCTCCCTTGTGTTTGGGGACCCAGTCTCATCCCACCTTCCCCCTTCCCCAGGCAAGCTAACCAGTGAGCCTTGGGGCAATGGACTGAGAGCTTCTCTCCCAGCCATATGCCTCTGATGGGCTATGAGGTATGGTTGGGCACCCTGTTCCAGAACCCACAGCATGGAGAGCCAGGCCTACAGCGGGTCCCAGTAGCCAAGATGGTGTGTGGGCCCTCAGGCTCCCAGCTTGTCCTGCTCAAGCTGGAGAGGTATGTGGACAACCTGGGAGGGTGTGAGGTGGGACTGGGCCTTGTGGCCTCAGACCCTGAGTGCCCCCATTCTTGCTAAAGATCTGTGACCCTGAACCAGCGTGTGGCCCTGATCTGCCTGCCCCCTGAATGGTATGTGGTGCCTCCAGGGACCAAGTGTGAGATTGCAGGCTGGGGTGAGACCAAAGGTAAGAGCATAGTGCACAGGACTGCTCATGGCCAGGAAGCCCAGCCTTGGATCTTCCTCCAGGGCCCTCTCCTTCTCCCCATTCCCCTCACTGCAGGTACGGGTAATGACACAGTCCTAAATGTGGCCTCGCTGAACGTCATCTCCAACCAGGAGTGTAACATCAAGCACCGAGGACGTGTGCGGGAGAGCGAGATGTGCACTGATGGACTGTTGGCCCCTGTGGGGGCCTGTGAGGTTGGTGGCAGGGCCCTGGGCCAGCCCTGGGAGGGTATGAGGGGGCTAGAAATGAACTATTTTATCATGAAGGGGGCTAGTCATTGCTGTGGCCCAGGGCCCTCATCAGTTCTCCTACCTGCCAGGGTGACTACGGGGGCCCGCTTGCCTGCTTTACCCACAACTGCTGGGTCCTGGAAGGAATTATAATCCCCAACCGAGTGTGCGCAAGGTCCCGCTGGCCAGCCGTCTTCACGCGTGTCTCTGTGTTTGTGGACTGGATTCACAAGGTCATGAGACTGGCTTAGGCCCAGCCTTGACCCCATATGCCTTGGGAAGGACAAAACTTCTTGTCAGACATAAAGCCACTTTTCCTCTTTACGCCTGTACAGATGCTTCTTAGCCTCTGCTTCCAGGAAATGAGTCAGTGACTCCTTGCTAGGGCCTGGGTGGCTTGAGCCCAGCACACCCTGGGCTAAGTGATCTGTCCCTGGGACTACTTTTGCCCATGGGTGCCGTGGAAAGGCAGGGTCTCACTAGTCCCCCAGACATACTCTTGGGAGGGGTGGTGCAGAGTCGTTGCTAATGGAAGGGGCTGCAACAGGGAAGCTAGGCTGGTACAGAGTCCGGGTTGCCAGGACAGGCAGAGGCTAAGCCTCTCACTGTTCCTTCTCTTCTCACACTGGAGGCAGATGAAGCCCTTGTGGCTACCACACCCAGAACCTAGGGTCTCTGCATACCAGGGTGGGAGGTGGGGTTGGGATTGGCTTGGTACAAAGTACCAGCAGGAACCAGGCTCTGTGTCCTAATTTATTATGACTACATAGCCCACATTCCTCTGCCCACGCATCCGTGGAGTCCAGAGCCCAGAAAGCCTCCTGTTGCCCTGCCAGACCTTGGAGCTCCCCAAGAGCGAAGTGTGGCACAGGCTGATCAGCTCATGCAGAATGGCAGGGCTTCAGCTGCCCAAGTGTGTGCGTAGCCAGAGCACAGCATTCATGAAGCTGTCTGACTCCACCTCCACCTCTGATAGTGCGTGGGTGCTTTTGGGATACAGCAGGAGCCTGTAGAGATTAGTCAGCAACATTTAAGGTTGGAGGGTCCTCCTATTCTCACCTGCCCACCAGCTGCCAGGGCCTTCCTGCTGCACTCACCGAACAGGCACATTCCGGGTCTTGAGGGCACGGTAATACTCCATGCCCTGCTTGAAGGGCACACGCCGGTCCTCCTGGCCCAACATCAGTAACAGTGGTGTCTTCACCTGGGTGTTCGGAGAGGAGTGGGGAGCTGTGTTGAGCTGGGCCCTGGGTTCTGGATGGATGGGCAGCACACAGGGCAAGGAGGGGGCTGCATACCTGAGGGATGTATTTGATGGGCGATTTGTCCAGCATCTCAGCCCACACGCTGAGGTCTGGCAGGCAGTCACTGCTGAAAGGAAAGCCAGCCTCCACCACGCACCTGCAAGACACTGAGCTGATGCAGACCCAGGAATTCTAGGCCTGCAGGGCTCCATGAGAATATGAGGTAGAGGAAGGAAGGGCAGGGACCTGTGGTGTATGCCTACCAGTCAGGGATGTCAGTGGAGCCCAACATGGAGGCGATGTTGATCACAGGGTTCCGGGCCACGCAGGCCCTGTAGGTTTCTGGGTACTGACCAATCAAGTGGCAGGAGATGAAGCCACCATGGGAACCACCCATAAGGGCCACATGGCTTGCATCAAAGTGTTCCTCCTGGAGCACCTGTTCCACTGCAAACTGCAGGGTGGGGCAAAGCATGCTGCAGCCAGCTGCCCACTCAGCTGAATGGGGGCATCCCCCTGGCAGCCCATGTTTCAGCCTGTCCAGAAGCCCCAGCCCCTGCTACCTGGACATCCTTCACATCCTGGTGGCCCACATTGCCTGGGAGGGAGAGGATGCTGTCCTGGCCAAAGCCCGTGGAGCCACGATAGTTCACTGAGGGCGGGGAGGGACCAGACAGTGTAGTCAGGCCTTTCCACACATCTGTGAAGTAGGCCCTGGGGCCAGCTATACCACAGACTGTCAAGGGGAAGGGACTCAGAGATTTGAGGCTGCCACCGAGTGACCACAGTGCCCTTCCCCTGGAAGTCCCAAGTTAGTCCTTGTTATCACTACGCCACAGAACCAGAGGCTGGGCCCCGGCAGTTCCTGGTAGTTGTTACTAGGTCTGGGCTACAGAAAGACCTGGAAACTAGAGTGGCACCCATGGTGCTTGTACAAACCAGGTCCACCCCTCTCACTCCACCACAGTCCTAACAGAGCTGTGGGTCCCTGCTCACTCACCTAGTAGTACTGCAAAGCCCATCTTGCAAAGCATGGCTGGGAACAGCATCCAGGCAGTGACAAAGGATGAATGGGGCCCCCCTGCAGACAGGGAGCAGAGGGTGAAAGGGCCAGCTAGGAGGAGGGCTGGGAGGGCAAGGGCTCTTTAACACCAGATGCCTACCGTGGGGCATAACCACCATGGGCACCTGGGTCTTATCTGGAGGGTTGCAGGGCTGCAGTAGGATTGCTTCAAAGTCAAGGCCAGCTGCAAGGAGAGGGCAGCAGTCAGCAGGGCCAGCCTAGGGGCTTCCCCAACCAAGGGCCCATCTGTAGCTGCAGGTCTGGGGCTGACCTCTGGGTCAGAGACCTGGCCAAGGTAGTCCACACCATGACACATGGACCCCGGAAGTCTCATGCTTCTTCTGCCCTCGTCAGGGAGCCCCACCCTGCAGGGACAGCATTCAGGATGAGGTGTGGTCACTGAGACTTGTATGAAGCCTATTTTCTTTGGACCTGGGTCTTCCCACCACAGATGATTTGGCCTGGTGGAGCCCAGGTGATACCCAGAGCAGGCGCTCAGATGTCTAGATGCTACTTCCCATGCCCATGCACAAGAGGAACAGAAAACCTCTTAGAGGTCATCCCCAGGAACCCCACAATGCGAGACAGGAGGTAGCAAAGGTCACCGCAGAGGCTTTGTGCTGGGGAACCTGGAGAAGACATCCCTCTGCCCCTGGCCCAGCTCACCATACTGCACATTCTCTTGCTCTGGGGGTGGCTGTAGCACCCGGATGCCCCAGTGGATGTCAGGAATGGGCTCGGCCTCCTCCAGGGACACCCACAACACTGACTGCTCCTTCCCTGCAGAAGGCAGGAACCCAACTTTCTGCCAAGGGGAAGGAATATGTCACAGGTGGCCTGGCTGCCTCCCTGCCCTTCCCTTTTGCCCACAGTGGGAAATAGGCAGCTCTCACTATGCTGGGCCCTCCACCCACCTCCAGAGGGTATAGCATGGCTTCCTGTTGTGGGATGGTATATACCAAGGTATTCACACTCATACAATCACACACAGGCACACCCTTCCCTCCTCAGCTTTTAGGCTCTGTTGTCTCCTTAGATCTGTAATACCAGGACTGGGTACTTCCCCAGGCACCTTGTTCTGTACAGAGCAGATTCTAGCCTAGTAGTTCGTCCCTGTGAGTGCCAAACCCTCATGGACCATGCCAAGCTGGGCCTGTGTCTTGGCCCATCTGTATGTTGACCAGCCATGGTCAGACTCGGGGGCCAATTCCCTGACCTGGTGAGCTCGGCCTGCCCAGACCCCCTGCCTCCACAGCCTGGGACCCACCGACACTCACCAGGGTTGGAGGTAGGCTGGGTGTGGAAAACTGTGCCACCATGAGGTCCCGGTCAATTGTGAGCAGCTTCCAGCTCCCACCTGACCCTCCTGGAAAAGGCAGATGCCACTAAGTGCTTAGCAGGAGCCATCACCTTTCTTACCTGCTTCTCTTTAACAGAGTCCCAGGCTGGAGATTCTATGGAAAGGTGCCCAAGAAGGTGCCCAACTGCACATGGCCCTGGATGAGCCTCCTGCTCTCAGTCCCTTGTTCATCTGACAGACACTGGCTGGGCTGGGAACTGCCAGACCTTGAGATACATCAGACCATGCAGACACATCTGCCTGTCCCTTGGTGGCTGCTGTGTGCAGGGTGGCAGCTGGGACCGGGGAGTGTGCTGATTTGGGGCAGTGGTGTCCAAGCAGATTCTGAAGCAGTTGTACAATGAGATGTAGCTTTGGAATAATATTTTGGTAGCTTTGTGGAGAAGCGGGTACAGTCAGGTCAGGTGGAGGACTCAAAACACATCTCAAGGGCAGAATCACCAGGCCTAAGTGTGGGGAAGATGCAGGAGTCAACACTGGGCTTTTCCTGGTCCCTGAGGTAGCAGAGCTGCCTCTGCCTGAGACAGGCACCCAAGGTTTGCAGAGGGAGAAAGATGACTCTGGCAGATCTTGGTAAGAGAAAGTTTTGTGGGTTTTAGGAGCAGAGGTAGGGGCCATGCTGAGGCTGGGCCAGGACACATGGAGCAGAGACACATGGAGCCTGCTAAAGGGCAGTAGAGCACGGAAGCTAGTCTGTTGGTTGGGTAAGGGTCTGTATGGACAAGGCCTTTGGGGACCTGTTAGTAAAGGCTGTGGAACAGTCAGTGGTGCTGAGTGGCTGAGAATGCCATCACTGCCCCACATGCTGAAGCTCCAGTCCCCCACTGCCTGGCAGGCTTGCTCACCAGCCCTGTCCTTACCACCATCCCCAAAGCCTTGCTCACCAGCTGTGAGGGAGGTCACGGTGCCCACTTGGGTGTCCACAGCAAACAGGTCCTGAAGCAGAGGGGAGGCCACATGTGGGACCACATCCAAGAGTACTCCCTCTACCTATGGGTCCCTCCCCTACCTCCTCTCTACTGTCTTGGAGAGCCCTGGCCAGACCAAGGCTGTGGACAGCTATGGTGATGGTTAGTCAGTGCTGGTTACTCAGGGAGTAGCGTGAGGGCTTGGGTTCAAATCCCAGCACCATCACAACTTGCTGGGTGACCCTGGGCAAGGTAAGGAATGGCTTTGAGCCCCTTTGAGTTGGCACGAGCACCAAATATCACACCCAAAAGGAGCCTGGCACACTGTGGGTGCCTTTACTCCATCCCTGGGGGAAGGGCTCAGTCCTGTCCCCATCAGCTGCCATTACAGAGTGTTCAGGGACCCACCCCAGTGGCAGTCCCCTTGACCCCCAGCTAGAAATGCCTGGGAGGGGTTGCATCTCTGCCTCAGATGAAAAGGCCTGAGTTCTGCTGTGGTGCACCAAGCCAGCCTGTCCCTTCCAGGAGAAATGAGTCCAGGATGGGCAGGCAGGGTTTTAAGGGGCTGATGAGACTTTGTGGCTGGGCATTTCACCCAGGGGCATGCACGTGCTATGTCTCAGGGGCGCAGGGCTCCTGGGGGTTGACCACAGGGGCTGCCCCTCAACACCATCAGTGTCCCTCACCTGCCGGCTGCGCTGAGCCGAGTCAAAGACCACTCTCTGGCTGTCAGCTGACCAGCATCCCAGAGGCAGAA